TTCCCTTCCCTATTGTAACTGAGATTAGTGGGTTTTTTCCCTTGTTCCATTTGGAAAAAAGTCAGTTTTTTTTTTTAGAATATTTCTTTTTTTCTGATCCGAATTATTCCCTTCCCTATTGTAACTGAGATTAGTGGGTTTTTTCCCTTGTTCCATTTGGAAAAAATTTTTTTTTTTTTTTTAGAATATTTCTTTTTTTCTTAATGTAGAATTTTATTGCCATAAACTTTTCTCTTAGAACTTTTTAAATGCATCTTGTGTGTTTCCATTTTTGTTTGTCTCAATATTTTCTTAAATCTCTACTGCTTTCTTCTCTGGTGCAGTCTTTGTCCTGTAAAGTGTGGTTTAATTTCCACATATTTTCAGTTTCATTATATTCCTTCATTCACTTGCATTTTCATACCATTGTAGTTGGACAATATGGGAGGTATAATTTTAATCTTCATAAATTTGTAAGATTTGTTTTGTGGGCTCACAGATGCTCTATCCTAGAGTGTGTTCTTGTGCACTGAACATAATATGTATTTTGCTGTGGTTGGGCACGATGCTGTCTGTATTTCTTTTCTTTTATTTCAAAATATTATGGGATGCAAAAGTGCACAGATGGAAGTAACAGTCATCAGGTGGGTATTTCTGTTCAGTCCATTTAGGTCTAGAGTATTTTTTTATGTCCAGCATTTTCTTACTGATTTTGTCTGGATGATCTAACCATCATTACATGTGGGATATCAAAGTTTTCTACTATTTTTGTGTTGCCGTCTCCATCATTTTTCCAATATTTCTTCATTACATCTTACTGCTCTCTTCTAACATTCATACCAATCTCCCATTCCAATGGTCTCCCAACCAGTGATTACTATTTTTCGCTTTTCAAATATCTTGCCATCTTTTATAAGCCCTCAATAATCTACTGGTCTTATTTACAACGCTTCAAACCATCACTTAGTTATTAACCCCCATCTCTTTCCAGTGCCCTGGCTCCCTTCTCTGTGAAGGCCACACTGCATCAGGCTTCTGGGAGTAGCCTTGGACTGCAAGTCAAATCCCTCAGCTCTGCAGCAATGGCTTCCTGCCTCTCAACTCTCTCTGGACCACCCACGGCCGTCACTCCCAATCAATTTCCTTCACGAGCTCACTCCTTCAGCTGATTCTGCCTCTCCCATAACTACCCAATACCCCCCAATATCATTTGTCAATCTTGCTATATTTCCCCTTTCAGCAGAAGAGGGGGCCCCATGCCTGACGAAACACTGAGAATAAGTGATGCTTTGCCCGTTATGTCAGTATCCCCTTTCCATTGAAGCTGACGCCCAAAGTCAACTATCAGACAAGGAACTAATGTTCTCTGGGATAGAACAAAAGAATTATTATAATTTTCTGTAAAGCATTTATACTCAGGTAATAGTTTCATGTCTAAGCCACATTTCTTAGAAGTAGTATTGAAGACATGCATTCTTGTGCCAGTGGTTTATTAACATTTTCCCTAGGAGAAATCACTAAGGATGTGATGAGAGAGGATCAGGGGTAGGAGTCTACCCTGCAGAGGAGTCAGATGCTGAGCAGGCCTCAGAGTTTCCGACCCTGACTGGGAAAGGCGAGCTGCGATGATCCATTTCTCCTCCCCATCCACAGACAAATGCGTACCCCGGGTGGGATATGAATCCTGTTTCAGAAAATAAATAAGGAAAGCAGGGTGTTGGGTGTCCAACAGAATGAGGACAATGGCGTCATCTGATGTTTCAACCACACGATGTCTAATCAGATCACAATGCACAGAATGAGGGAACACGGGGCATGCCTCGGACTCAGGTGACAGCAGTGTAACAAGGTCACCCGCTCTCAGGGGAGGATGAGACCCGCATCAGAGAGAAGGTCCAGGAGAAGAGAGCAGGAGCTGCATTGTGCTCACCGCTGAGGGAGAAGTCCCCGAGCCTATGTGGATGGGGGAGTTGGCCTGGGGCCAAGGAAGGGCAGGAGGAGATTGCAGGTAGCAGCATTTTCTTCATGGAGTGGGACTAACCTTAGACCTGCTCCCAACACCCCTCTCAGAAAAAGCACTGTCTTCTCCAAACATCAAACTCCACTTAAGTTCCCAAGAAGAGATGCCCCATGGGGCTCAGAAGGACTAGGGGAGCCTGAACTCAGTCCCTCTTCCTTCACAAAAACATGGCTCAGTCACGGGCATGGACCTCGTCAGGCTCTAGTGCAAAATCCACTTTGGGGTTTTGCAAAAAAACAGATCTCTATTCAGATGGGGCTGCAGACTCTGAGAAAGGCAGAGCTGTGGTGTAGATAAAGATGAGATTGTTGGGCCTAATTTTCCTGGTGCTGCCCCCAAGGTGAGGATCTCAGATGTGAGACACAGGTCTGGGGGACAGTTGTGACAACACATGATTGACAGGCACAGATCCTCCTTGTCCCCATGTGTGCTGTGTCAGGTGCACTGTGGGAGTCAGGCTCAGGACTAAGGGTGTCCTTGCAGACTCCCCACCTGCTCTGTCACTGGATGCTCCATCACACCCCGTGGTTACTGCCGGGGCTGGGTCTGACAATCCCCATGGAAGGGACTGGTGTGGATCAAGAACGTATAGGATGAGGGGTCACAAATTACAACCTGTCCCTCAAGAGCTGAGTCAGCAAGTCCTGATCAACATCCAAGAACCAGTCCTACCTGCAGGTGAGCTCCGTGACCACTAAGGACACCACCAGGTGTGGCTGTGCCGGACAAAGTGAAGAGACATGTCACCACATAATGGGACTTCCATGTGAGCCCGGGCACAAACTTCTCCTCAGGGGCCTGCAGGACCAGCACTGGGGCCCAGGGACCCATGACAGCATCGTCCATGTTCCAGCCTCAGGGAAGTTGGCTACAGAGGGGGGCGGGATTGGGGAAGGGGTTTCCTGTCTCAATCAAATATCACCATTGGATCAACTCCACTGAATCTATTCTACTAGATAAATTACAGAGAGATAGATGTAGATCTAGATATTATTAATAGAAATGTATATAATTAGAAAATAATATTTCTATAAATACGTAATTATATTTAGATGCCTTAATTTGTAATGTCTGTCTTATGTGGCCATCAAGGACCAATGCCTTTGCTTATTCAAGGACCATATAAGTTGTGGTCGTCCAAGTAGGAACTCTTTTTCTGTTCCCCATCTCTCTCTCACACATGCACAGAGACATGCACATGTTGAGGGTTATTGACTTAACATTTACCTTGATTTTGCTGGTGGTTATGCCAATATTTCTCAAATTGTGCACTTCAGAAGAGGATTATTGTAGTGCAATTATACTTCATTAAAGATATTACACAGTGTATTATTTCACATAGAAAGAGTTACAGAGAGATGGAAAAACACACAAAAATGCAGAGACTGCTAGATACACACCTGAATGAAACCACTTCTCTCAAAATTTGGGGGAGAAAAGAATAAAGCAAAGTAATGCCATGATCTCATTAGAGAAGGGGATTTTCCAGACCTCATTATGCATGTTCAGCTCCGGGCTGCAGTAGGTTCGTGGGCCAGGTGTGTGCAGTGGTGAGGTGCACGAGCTCAGACACCCGGCTCACTCTGTCCACACATGAGCTGCTGGACACATCTCTTAGCCCCTTCCTGTTTCTGGCTCTACTTTTACATATGAAAAATGTAGCAAAGTTTAGACATCTACATGACATGATCCACATCCATGTGTAGAAATGAAATAAAGTTATGTATGCTAAGCGTTTATCACAGCTCAATCTCACAATAATAAACCACATTTCCCCAAATAT